GGCAGAAGGGGGGCCCTGGTCTAAGTCCCTCCCGCCATGCTGGTGCACTTGGCATGAGCCCGTCACCTTCCTCCAGCTCCCGGGCCTGCTGGCTGGAGAAGACGGTCCTGCCGCGGTGTCGTGGCCCTGGTGGTTCCGAGCCCCTCACTGGGCGCGGGGTCTCCATGGGGACATCGGCTCTAGGTCCAATTGGAAAGCAGCAGCCTGCAGGACCAGGATGGAGATGGGGCGAAGGGGTCCCAGGGCAGGGGGTCAGGGGACACTTCACCTGGTGCCAGCCATGTGCGCGTGCAAGTGCGTGTGTGTGTGTGTGCGCATGCAGGCATGCAACCATGTGGGCACATGCACATGCAAGCATGTCTGTGCATGGATGTGTTCGTGTGCATGAACACGTTCAGGTGTGTGAGCAGGTGAGTGCATGCACACACATACATGTGCAAGCACATGTGTGTTTATGCACGCATGTTCAGCTGGTAGCAGGAGCCCTCTGCACCCCAAGAGCACCCCTTGGTGCCCCCAGCCATGTGCCCTTGGCCATCACCTTGTCTTGGCTCACCCAGCGGCAGCGGGTCCCTGGCAAAGGACAGGAGCTGCTGGTGGCTCTGCAGGTTCCTCAGCACCCGGTTGATGGAGGAGACCTGGGCAGGAGAGAAGGGGCTGTGCCCCCACAGGGGAGCCCGGGGCTGGACGGGGCTCCCCGGGACAGTCACCAGGGCCACGCAGGGCCCCGTGTCCCCATGCTCAAACCAGCACGTCCTGGGTGCAGGACTCACGCTGGGCACGCGGCTGCCGGCCCAGAGGCCCTCGGCCTGCAGTTTGCAGCGGATCTCCCGGGCGAAGAGCGACGGCTGCTGCTGCTTGAGCTGCACGAGCCTGGCCACCACGGCGGGGGTGGCGGCGCGCGGCCGGCTGCCCCCCATCGCCTTGGGCCCCACGGCTCCCGTGCGGTAGAAGCGGCCCAGGATCTTGCTGACACAGCCAGTGGAGACCTGCGGCAGTGAGAGCTGTCCTGTTCCCATCCCTGACTCCATCCCCATCCCCATTCCTGTACCCATCCCCGTCCCTTTCCCTGTCCCTGTCCTCATCCCCATCCACATCCCTGTCCCTTTCCCCATCCATGTCCCTTTCCCCATCCCCATCCCTGTCCTTGTCCTCGTCCCCATCCCCATCCCTTTCCCCATCCCCATCCCTTTCCCCAACCCCGGAGCCGGCCACGTCCCTGCCCTGTCCCCAGCCCTGTCCCCATCCCATGTCCCTGTCCCCTTCCCAAATCTCCAGCCCTGTCCCCATCCCTGTCCCTATCCCATATCCTTATCCCATGTCCCTGTCCCCATCCCAAATCTCCAGCCCTGTCCCCATCCCTGTCCCTATCCCCCATCCCCATCCCTGTCCCTATCCCTGTCCTTGTCCTCGTCCCCATCCCCATCCCTATCCCTATCCCTGTCCTTGTCCTCATCCCCATCCCCGTTCCCATCCCCATCCCTGTCCCTATCCCTGTCCTTGTCCCCGTTCCCCATCCCCGTCCTGCCCGGTGCACCTGCAGGCTGTGGGAGATGTCCGCCGTGCGCAGGCCGCGCGCCGCCAGCTCCACGATCCTCTGCCTCTTGCAGACGGGCAGCGGGCGGCCGTTCACGAAGAGCCCCCCGAGCTGGTTGATGCCGCTGGGCCCTGGGGAGCCATGGGCTGGGTGAAGGAGACGCTGGGGCAGTGGAGGGGACACCAAGGCCAGGGAAGGGGACACAGATGGCCCAGGGGTTGTGGTAGTGCTCACCTCGGTGCTGCATGGTGGCAGCTCACCGGTGCGGGGGGTCCCCGGGCCCCGGCTGGGGCAGTGGAGGGGACACCAAGGCCAGGGAAGGGGACACAGATGGCCCAGGGGTTGTGGTAGTGCTCACCTCGGTGCTGCATGGTGGCAGCTCCACGGTGCGGGGGCTCCTCGGCACCTGGCTGGGGAAACAGGTTGGGAAGAGTGGCCAGGACTTGGCCACCCACCCTGGCCACCAGCTACAGAAGAGCCCAAGGTGGGAGGAGACACCCAGGGGTGCTGGGGACATCACTCCAGGGCTCCTCAGCCCCTAAAGGCGGTGACAGAAATAGGATGAAGCTCTGCAGAGTCTGGTGGCTGCAGGAGGAGGGTTCCCAGAGGGCAGGTGGCAGCTCGGAAGCCAATGCAGGTCTCATTGTCCTTCTGTCCCCACTGTCCCCCGCCACTCCAGCCTCCTCCGAGCTTCTCTTTGCTCTAAACCAGGGGCCTGCCCTGGTGCTCCCCACGCATGTGGTCACACACTGATACCCTTCCCAAAGCCCTCGGGCCTCAGTGTGAGAGAAACGGCCATGAGAAGCTCCTCATCCTGCAGCTGGAGACACTCCAACCTCCTGCCTTTGCTCCTCATGCAGGGAGAAATCACGGCTGAATTTTCTCACACACGAGCACAAGTCCTGCACCCAACCCCCGTGCTTGCCTGGTTTGTCACACACCTCCCCTGGCTCCACGTCCTGGTCCCTTTGTGCCAAGCACGTGCACACGGATGCCACAGTCTCCTGCCCCTGGTACAATGAAAACCACCATGGGAACCCCAGCAAAGCAGCAAAACACAGGGGCCAAAGGTGACCCCACCACCTTGTCACTCCGCTCCCCCTGCCCATGGGGCCCAAGGGTGAATATTCCTCTAGAATGTGAGGTGCGGGAGCAGAGACTGCCCTGGAGCCTGTCACCCCCGGGAGTCCAACGGGATGGGGACGCCGGGGGCGCAGGGTGCCCTTCCTGCCCAGGAAGAGGCTCAGGGGCTGCCAGAGGCACCAGAAGTTGTGGTACCATCTCCCGGACCTGCGTGGAAAGGGCTGGAAAGGAGCATCCTCGTTCCCGTGCACGTGCAGCGCTGCCCGGCCTGAAGCCGGTGGCTAAGTGAGATTTGGTAACGTGCAGCAAATCCCTGTGGCTCAGCAGGGGGATGTGATCCGCGGGAGTGGGACAAAAGAGGCAGCCCAAGAGCATGAGAGAGCGGGTGTCCCCACGGGCACCCG